AAAAAAAAAAAAAAACAGTAAGGTAGATCATATGCTGGATTATAAAACAAGTTTCTAAATATTTAAAAAGCATGAAACCATATAGAATTTGTGTTCTAATCACAGTGGAATTACAATACCTGTAGAAATCAATAACATAACGATACCTGGAAAAATCTCCCAAATATTTGAAAAGAAGCAACATACCTCTACATAGCCCAGAGGCCAAAGAATAAGTAACAAGGGAAATTAGATACCATTTTGAAATGAGTAAAAATGCAAATAGCCTGTTAAATTTGTGGAATGATACTAAAACACTATGTAGAGAGGAATTTAAGTGTTTTTATTGGAAAAGATAAACATGACGTAAATGGTCACTGTAAATAATCAGAAAAGAGCAAATTAGACCTAAAATAAATAGAGGAAGGAAATAAGGAAGATAGGAATGAAAACATTCAGATAGGGAAGAATAATGAAGAACCAATGAAAAGATCAATGAAACTGATAACCATTTAGTGAGGTTAATCAAAAAAAAGATGATGAAAATTAGTAATAGCAGGAGCAAAAGAGGGATTGTCACTGCAGGTACTATACTTATTCAAAGAAAACTAAGGGAACATCTTAAAGACTTTGTCAATAAATTTGAGTTAAGATGAACTGTAAAAATTTTTTGAAAGACAAAAATTGTCAAAAGTGACATAAGAAGAAATAGAATATATGAATAGCCCTGTATCAAGTTAATTGAATTAATCATTAAAAACCTTTACTTGGCCAGATGCAGTGGCTCATGCCTGAAATCGTAGCACTCTGGGAGGCCAAAGCAGGTGGTTTGCTTGAACTAATGTTGGAAGTCCTAGCCATCGCAGTCAGGCAAGAGAAGGAGATCAAAGGCATCCAAATGGGGGCAGAGGAGTTCAAACTCTCCCTCTTCATAGATGACGTGATCTTATACCTGGAAAACCCCAGGGACTCAACTACAAAGCTCTTAGAAGTGATCAGGAAATATAGCAGTGTCCCAGGTTACAAAATCAATACCCACAAATCAGTAGCCTTCCTGTATACCAACAACTGTTAAACTGAGAACAAAATCAAAGACTTTATCCTTTCTACAGTAGCACCAAGGAAAATGAAATACCTGGGAATATATCTAACAAAAGAAGTGAAAGATCTCTTTTTTTTTTTT